CTTTTTGCATATGATGCTCTCTCTCTCTCTCTCTCTCTCTCTCTCTCTCTCTCTCTCTCTCTCTCTCTCACACACACACACACACACGATCCCTTACTACACTCGCCATGTGTGCTTCGCATTCTTTTCAAACTATTATATTTTGTATGTTGCACTGCCATGGGGTTATTCTACTAGGGTGTGTGCTAAACCTCGCAAGCAGGGTTCGCAGTTTGTCCTTGTGGCCATACCAAGCTTGCAAAACCTCCTTCGCAAAAAATTAACAATCACCCATGCTATGGATGTAGGAGCATTAAACCCTTTTCTTTGGGCTTTTGAAGAACGAGAAAATTTGTTATTTGCAGCGAGGGAGGCTGTACAATGAGGAGATCGGACCAGACTGATAATGCGTCGTAGATAGGAACACTCTCGCGCCGAAGGGCAACGGAAAAGTTGGACCCGTTATAAGGTGGAACTCATCACAGCAATCATCACGTTACTGCTAAGCCACTTATACCCTATCCAGCTGGCAAACTCCTCCATCTCGGTAACCTAATCCATCTCGGTAACCTAATCCATCTGGTGACCTTATCCATATCGGTAACCTTATCCATCTGGGTAACCTTATCCATCTCGGTAACCTTACCCATCTCGGTAACCTTATCCATCTGGCAACCTTATCCAGTTTACCACCTTGTCCCAGCTTCCCAGTTGATCACAGCTTCCCAGTTGATGAGGATCAAGTGAGTGGGTGGAGAATGCAGGGGACGGATGATGCGAAGGGAGTGAAACCACCAGTACATTTGAGCCTCTTTTGTATGACGCGGGTTCCCCCTGCGCGCCAAACTTTGCTGAAACGCCAGGGCAACTTTTTTGCTTTCGTTTTGCCTGACACCGCCAGCCATTTTGGTCAGGTTGCCCCGAGCCTCCGATTTTTTTTTTTCGGATAGAGACTCTCGTTGTTCTCGAGTGGAGGCCATGCATGCCCTGGTGGTTGAACATTACCAGCCAGCCTACCCCCAGGCTGGCTGCGCTACAGGGTCCGATCCTGATTTCGCAGACAAAAACTGCACAAACCTTTCCAGGAAAAAAAAAAGGGGAAATGATTGGAGGTTCAGAGGTTGACAGCTGGAGAAGTTACCGGTTGCGACAGTCGGATGGGTTAGCGGCGGCCTGGCGAGGGTAGCAGCTGAAGATCATCAGTGGGAGGAGTGTGAAAGAGAGAGACACTTCGCAAAGAGATGTTCCTGAAAGGCAAAGTTGAGAACAAAAGCATAGAGAAATTGTGGGTAATTTATGTTCTCGTCTTGGGAGAAGGGGGGGGGAGAGGGGAAGAAAAGGGAGAGGGTGGGGGGGGGGGGGGAGGGGGGGGGAGAAGAGGAACGTAGGGCGAATATACCGTCTGGAGCACGCGAAAAACGGACGAAAGCAGAATTGAAAAACGAAAAAAAAAAAAAAAAAGGGAAAAAGGAACGGACGGGACCAACGCAGAAAGACGGTGAGAGAAACGCGGGCGAGTAAAACAGGTTTCCAGAGAGAGGAAAGGGGGCAATACAGCGAAGAGTATTGAAGCATAGCAGCGTCGACCGGTGGTAGAATGAAACAAAACCTAACGGTGGAACATAACAGTGGAACGTAACGGTAGAACGGATGTGCAAAAAGATTTCATTTTATTGCACTTACACAGGAAGGCAGAAAAAAAAACACCGCGATAAAGGGCGACAGAGAGGGAGAGGGAGAGAGAGGAAACGGGAGAAAGGGAGAGGAGAAGGAAAGAGGGAGAGAGGGAGAGGAGAAGGGAGTGCCAGAGGGCGAGGGGAAGAGAGGGAGGGAGAGAGGGAGGAAGAGGGTGGCGGAGTACAGGGAACGGGAGAGAGGGAGGGAGAGAGAGGGAGAGGGGTAGAGAGGGAGAGGGGAAGAGAGTGGGAGGGGTAGAGAGGAAGAGGAGGGAGGGAGAGAGGGAGAGGGGGGAAGAGAAGAGGGGGAAAGAGAGAGAGAAGGACAGAGGAATTGAGAGAGAGGAAGAGGGTGGCGGAGGAGAGGGAAGACAGTCGGACGTATGCGCTAGTGACGGAATTCTGTCGTTCTTTGCTAACGCTTCATTGTCGGGTGATTTGTGAGAGATGGTAGATAGGGTTATCATGTGGCTCGTTTGCCCTTTGCCGCACTGATGATAGGCCGCCATTTTTTTCCGTTTAGGAGTCGGTTCTTCTTCTTAACAATCTTTTCTTTTGGGCAGGCACTGCCGTCTTCCCCTGCACCCTGGGAAGACGGTTTAGTACCAAAAATAGGCAATCACGACTATCACAGATTTCCCACGAAAAGTTAAAATTGGCAGTCATTTCGATTTATTAAATTTTATTTTCGAAAAATATTACAACTCGGATGAAAAGCGTCGCTCTTAAAAGCTCAATTTACGCGCCTGCGAGACAATTAGCACTTTTTATTCCTGGAGAAAATAGAGGCAGAAAAAGGGGGGGGAAAAAAAAAATCCCCCAATCAATCGATTGCCAGCAGGAAAAGGAAATCGGAGCCTCTTTTTATTACAACTGATGGCTATTTTGTTAATTTTGAAAGAAGGAATGCATGCTTTTTCTAAAAATTATTATCCTGCTTTCTTTTTCTTTTTTCTTTTTTTTTTTTACTTCCTTTCCTTCTTTTCCTTTTTTTCTTTTTTTTCCGCTTTCTAATACTTAATTTCCTTATATCGGCTCCCTCATAGATTTGCAAACCCCATACATTTACGGCAACGACAGTCTCCTTTGGGACATCCGTTATAATGGAGACCATGCAGAGAAGATTAATTATCATGGGCCCTGCGCAACGATGACACCCATAATTGACTGATTGAAGGGGAAAATTTCGAGACATCACTTAAAAAACTTGGAACGACACAGAGAAGATTAGCACGGCCACTGCGCAGGGATGACATGCATTAAAAAAAAAAAAAAAGGGACATCCATTAAAACTGACGCGATACCCTGCGCATTCACGGATGACACGCATACATCGAGAAGCGGTCTAAATTTAGAAAAAAAGAAGGGAAAATCCGAAAAAATATACTGGCAGTCGTACAACTGTGCACCTTTTTTTTCTACTCGACATTTTCTTTTGACAACAACACCAAGTTTTTTTTTTTCATGACCATTGAAAACACGTTTTTTGAAATGGCGAAAGAGTGGTTTTCGCGACCAGGAAATGTAAATGCCATTTTAGGGGAATACCTATTCCCAGGGCCTTTGGAAAATCTTTCCCCCTCGGTAGGAAGAAGAGTAGAGGGGGGCGGACGCGGGGGAGAGGGGGGGGGGGAGGAGAGGGAGGGAGACGGAAGAAGGGATGAGCAGTTGCTTCAGTGCTCTGATCACTGTACATTTGATTTTGTTCAATCACGATTCTCATTTTTCATAATCAATTAATTGATGAATTCATAGCGAGCTCTTGAATTAATTAATTAATGAATAATATTAAATACATAATTAGTATACTGTCATATGCCTTTACAGCCAGATAGACCGCGGCGGATCTACCATATGACACGTATTCCTATTCAGTCTGGTGCTCTTTACTTTTAAGTCTATGAAGTTCTTTTTTTTTTCCAAGTCTGTGAAGTTCTTTTTTTTTTCAAGTCTGTGAAGTTCTTTTTTTGTTTGTCAGTCTGGAGTTTTCTCCTTGCGCATGAGCATGATTACCCGTCTTCACCCAAATAAAACGCCCGGTCATTATCGCCGCACCTGTACTGAAAGTTGCATCAAATACAGCTGTACTGACAGGGCATTGAATTCGAGTGAAGACGGGTAGTTCTGCACCTCGTGTACTTCGATTGCATCTGCTTTGCCCATGACAGTGGGCAGCGTCTGGCAATGTGTTGGTTTTTACAGGAGAGAGAGCTACAGAAGGAGAGGAGGAGAGGGAAGGAGGGGGAGGGAGCGGGGACGGGAACCCTGTTGGAAAAAGCCGGGAAAATAAAGAGTGAAAACGGGGGGGGG